CTGATGGCCAGGACATCGTGGAAGTTGAGGAAGAGGGCTAAAGGTACCCTGGCATTTTACAATTGGATCAAACTCTCGACACTAAGATTGACCTGAGAAAACAGCCGACATTTGGCGAAGCTACCACTGGTTTTCCCCGCGAAATGACGTCTGAGAAACGAGCGCAGAAATTTCATAGCGATCATGCGTCACTTCCCAGATCTGGGTAGTGCTTCTGACGGGTTGAATCAAATTTCCTACGCGGCACGACCAATCAGATGCACTACCCAGATCTGGGTAGTGATGCTTCATCAGTATGGAATTTCTGCGCTCGTTTCTCCGACGTCTTCTTTGCGGGGAAGCCAGTGGTAGCGTCGCCAAATGTCGGCTGTTTTCTCAGGCTATACTTGGATGAAAGGAAAGATAAAAGCGGAATAAGTAGCTGCGTAGATGATGATGGGTTGGCAGAAATGCTATTAAACGCACCAATACCTGGATTGTAGATGTGGTACGCAACAGTGCAGGTATCATTGTTTGCACAGTGAAAGAGTTTGTCAGCATACATAGAAAAACTAGAACGATATTACTAATGAATGGTTCTCTATACACCAGAAGTAATTTAACCAGACTGTCTCTGCCGAGCAAGGGTAGGTGGAGAGGGTTGATTGGTATCAAGGGATGTGTAAATAAGAGGAGAAAAGCAGTGCATGGTTACCTGAGAATTAGCACCGAATGGGTGCTGCAAATGATATCGAAGGAGAAAGTGCTAGTTGAAGAATAACCTTTATGACTGCCAGAGGACACGAAAGGAGAGGAATGCCCTACATAGAGAGTCTGCTCCGCAAACGGCTTCAGATGTGGGTGGAGAGGACCCCTGGATATGGCTCAAGAATGCTTATAGAAGGGTTGATATTCACTGCTCAAGAACTCGCTTTGAGAACAAATTCGATCCAGCACAGCATATGTAACACATCTGAGAAACCACTGCAGATCGTGTGGTGACTGCACAGAAACAGTATGGCATATTGTCAGTGAATGCAGGAAGCTTGTCCATAGCGAATAAGGCTATAGGAAACGCCACGACAAGGTGGCTCTAGGGGTACACTAGAAGCTGTGCAGAAAGTAAGGGTTAGAGTATTAACCGACAACTAGTACAACCATCAGGTCTCACAAAGTTGCAGAAAATAGAGAAGTAAGGATAACTTGGGATATGACCATCTTTGCAGAAAAGCTGCTGAAGCACAATCGGGAAGATATTACTGTAGTATGCAAGACACCCACGAGAGGACACTTATCGACATAGTTCTGCCAGCGGACCAAAATCCTTTGTAGTGAGGAGGAAAAGGTGGAAAGGTATCAAGACTTAGCGCTCGAAGTTAAAAGAATCCATAGAAACACGAAGAAGACAGTCATAGCCATCGTGATTGATGCACTTCGAACTATCTCAAAGAATGCAAGGCCTGGTATGAGAGGATCAGTCTGCCGGGCATTTTTCTGCACAGTTGTCAGCCATCCTTGGCACTGCTCATATATTGCAGAAAGCGGTTGTGTCTCTAAGCTGCGGGAAGCTGCTGAGACATATGGTATTTTCCAAGTTATTCAAGTCATCATAAAATAGCAGTGTTAACAGTTTTAAACCGAAAATGAAAGGAACGACAATGTGTGTTATGCCTTTTAAGTCTCTTTTATTTCAAGGTTGTACCAGAAAATCTTGTCGTGAGAATTAGATCATATGACCCTGAGCTGCAAAGGGCCTATATAGTATAATACTAATTAAAAGTTTACAGCCTCACTCTTGCATTGATTATGGTCAAGAGGCGGTTTTTCATTAGAACGTTTTGCGTTTGTGGACGCAGTTCTGTTATGTTATCATTCAAATAAAACGACCAATGTAGAAAAACTGCGAAAGGATAAGAGAGGGTCATAAGAGTAAGGACGAAAACTATGACATTTAAATCAGTGGATTGTGAAATCATATTACGTCTTCCAAGTTATTGAGGTCTAAAATAGTATTCGTCAATTTTGTATATATTTCATAATAATTGTCATAATTATTATTTATATTTGCAGACATAATGTTTTCTTGGGTTCTATGAATGAAAAAAACAATAAATCGGGAGACATCTAACGTAGAGAAAGGGGAAAAAAAGATGCTGACTTTGAAAAATTCAATTTGGGAGGGTATATTACAAAATGTCAAACTTTGATTTTACTGTTTAGTTCACTATCGTGACGTTCAAAACCTTGCAATCTAGTCACGAAACGTTGTGTTTGACCAGCTGTGTATTTAATTCAGCTTTCTTATCGTGATCAATATATTTAAGCAGCATAAGTAAACACTTCAAGGTTGCAATAATCTTAGTCGGTGATATCTTTTTACCCACCGATTAGGTCCGATTTTCTCCCAGTCTTTAACTTTAACTTCCAAAGTCTCTTGAGCCGACAGTTCCTTTCCGTTAAGGTCATACTCAAAATCCTTAAGAAAGAAGGGATTAAAAAAGACCAGTGTGAGAGTTGCGCCATGTAGTGCAAATGAGCCCTTTTCGCTTGGTTTAAATCAAGGATCCGATCAGTGCTGAGTTAACAACTGAGCATGCCCAGTAGTTCAGTATAACCATTTTACAGTCCGATCGATACACTAGTTTCAGCATTGGAGTAACCAACCCTACAAAAAATATAAATATAAAAAAAGGAGGGGAAAGGAAAGGATAATAAAATTTTATGGTCATTTCAGGCTAATTTTATTATTGTGTATAGTAATTATAATGAGAACTTCCTCTATTCTCCTTTACTCGAAACCACGAGGTGCATGGTGACTACATGTATCTCTAAAAAATGTGAACAAGTCGGCAATGATCTCTTGAGGACTATACTGACCGTCTATAGTGACTAACGAAAACAACACATTTATTTCCCAGACTTTTCTCCACATCTTTGACTCAGATCAGTGAAAAGTCACTGGCTGACTGAGAATTCAGTCAAATTAAAATAGAAACCCACCTTGTTCCAAACAGGGTTCAGCTCATTTTTAACAACTTCAGTCTTTTGTTCTTGACCTTGTAAAAGAGTAACATTGCACAAATATAGCGATATTCAACAATACCAAACAGGCAGGATTTTGACTTTCAACTAGGCAAATTATATAATTTGTAACGCGTCGGCGTAAAAAATGACGCAGCTAAAACATTGTAAATTCCTTTTGCAACCTACATACATTTCTAAAATATAATGTACCTAATTATTTCTGGAAAAATTATTCAAGTTTGAGCTGGGATCGTCAGATATATTCAAAATGAAAATTTCCTTCGATCTGAAATGGCTATTTTAAAAAGAATTAAAGTTTAACCATCTATGAAAAAAATGAAATCAAATTCAGCAATATATTAAATGATTCAGTGAAGGAGCTCCAAACCGATTAACATTAAAGGGTCCAGAGCGAAACAATAAGAGGATATTTCAGACATGGCAAACAACCAACGACGAAACTGGCATTCGTGACACCTACTCAAAACTTACCTTGAAAGCTTACTGTGGCATAAGGATCACTTTTCCCACCAAATGTATCCACATCGGGCAGATTAGTGGCCCCTTTCACTTTTACCTTCAGCATATTTCTAAGCTAAGCAAAATATGTAAACTACAAATTTATCTCACTTTTTCCATGATAATCCGACGTCATGGAAGGTCGCGAGCGAAGAACTCCCGCGTAGAGCCTTTTTTGGCCCCTCCTTGATACCACGCAACATAGGTGTCATGATCACTCTTTACAGTTTTGTTCTTGCCGTCAATCACCTGTCTTTGTTGCTAACCGTTTAAGTAATTATCATGAAATTTTGTTTTTTCTGCTTGGATTAATCAATCTATACAATGGGGTGTGATCATGATCGCATGAAAAATATAACTCTTAACAACAAATTCTAATACTTTAATGCTATAATCTTCAATGATTCTTCGATCGATATCTCACGGTTATTTTTTACGCTGTACTACCCTTAAACTATGAAGTACATATATAAGAATCGTCAATACTGTACGCGGTAAAGAATGGTAGTTACTGTTTATGAACAAACGCCGTACTATGACTAAAATTATAATTCTGTCAGAAAGCAAATAAGAAATTCTTTGAATCAAGGCCTGTTACGAAGGTTACTCTCCCAAATGTTGCTGAGAAGGTTTAACTAGACAGCTCACCCAATTCTCCATAATTAAAAAAAAAAAAAAAAAAAAAAAAAAAAAAAAAAAAAAAAAAAAAAAAAAAAAAAAAAAAAAAATAAAAAAACATAATTTAGATTTGTATGTTAAAATGTGATTTTTAGTATTAAAAAAAAAAAAAAAAAGGAAGAAAGAAAGAAGCTAGTACACTTCAACAAATTTCTTTTTGCATCCTTTTTATGCTTTTTATTTTTAAATTATCATTTTAAGAATATTAGAGCCGTGAAAGTTATTGGCTTCTTGAAGTCATTAGTTAACATTTTGATATCGCGCTTAGGAGAAAATGTGGCCTAACAAACGAATGATACGTATTGTTAATACTTTCTGTTGCCCTGTGTACAGAGGTTTCTTTCCAATTCTATTCTGGCAGCTGGGATTTTAGCATTTGCGGAGTCGTTTAGTTACCGTCATCGGAGTGCTTCGCTCGGTAACTTAAAACAAGGAAAATACGCAAGTGACACGAAAGACTCTGCAAGTGCTACCTGCCATGCAAAAATTGGAAAGAAACCTCTGTTCGAAAAGTAACTATAAAAGGAGGTGTATCACCATGTATCGTAGGTTTAAAATCAGAAACACCGCACAGCGTACGGTTTCAGATCACCGCAACAGCCAGGATGGGGATATTATTCACCGCAATACCGCCCCCAAAAATTAGCGACATTGTAACACCGCAAATCCCCGTGTCCCCCTCATAGTGGGACTTTGCCTGGGGTTCATTCAGAAGTTACTTTCTGTTGAAATTACACGACTTTGCACTCATAGGATTCCGCTGACCTCCGACAAGAACGCCTTCGATATATAGCTCCGATATGATAAAGCAATATTTTTACAGACGAATTATTCCCAGGCGGATTGTAATCGGCCCATTATTTTCTGAAAATGGTGCTAGCAGAAAGCTGGTTTATTAAACGCGTTGAGGAGCTAATTGCTCACTTAAAAGAAACCTCCTTGGATGAAGAGAAAGACGAAGCCATTTTGAGGCATATTGAGTGGATGGAATCGAACGAATCTGCAACTGTGCCCGACTTTGAAGCCAATTTGGAATGGTTAAACTGTACCAGTCCGTTGTCCTTCCAGGAAAAACTTCGAGGAAAAGTGTGTGTTTTGGATTTTTTCACGTATTGCTGTATAAACTGCATGCATATTTTGCCGGATCTTGAAGCGCTAGAACAACTTTACTCTGAGAAAGATGGTCTTGTGATCGTGGGAGTACACTCGGCGAAGTTCGAGAATGAAAAATCATCCACAAACATTTTGAGTGCAGTGTTACGATACGACATCAGGCATCCAGTTGTGAATGACTCAGAAGCAAAGTTATGGCACACTCTCTCTGTTCAGTGTTGGCCTACACTAGTTGTTGTGAGCCCAGAAGGGAAAATCTTACTTAGCTTAATAGGCGAGGGTCACAGAGACACTCTCTTGCAGTTTGTAGGCTCAGCCTTGAACTTTTACAAACAAAAAGGTAGGCGAGAATCTTTCATTTGATCTAAAAAGTTAGGAGGGAGGGTGGTGGGAATACAATAACTGGCTTAAATGCTTTTATTGATGTAAAGCCAACTATGAAAGACATCTAGAAAAGGTAACTTCCATTGGTAGCAATCAGTTTGTAAGAATTGGCTATCCAGATTTGTTAATCATGTTTGATTAATGGAGTCAAATGTCCCATCAGCTAGACCACCCAAAATGTGAAGAGTAAAGCCTAGTTCTCATATGCTGCTGAGCTACCTGCGACACGACTCTGACATAGGTGCCAGTACTGCCTGTGGTACCGTTCCAATATGAGAACAGAAGTCGCTGGCAGTAGAGGCCATGTCAGTCTTTACAGCTGGCATGCCCGCGAAGTTGACACAAGTTCAACTTCACAGGCATGCTGGTGGTAAAGACCCGCGATTTTTCTTGAGCCAGCAGTGATATGTTCTCATATGTTGGAGTAGTATCGCAGGCAGCACCAGCGGCTTCTTTGCAGTTACTTCAGTGACACATGGGAACCAGGCTTAAGTGGTCACTCACAAGAATCAAACAACAGGGAAGAGAGGTTCTGCCAATCTATCTTTTGGAAACATACGTTATCAACTGAGCATGGGTTAAGATGGCTGGATGTTTGCCATGTTTTTAGTTGCATTTGTGTGGAGCGAGACAAAGTTTAGGTGCACTGCAACATAAATGAAGTAGGAAGCCAGGAAAGCAGGAAAGTGCGGGTGATCCCGATCCTCGGATCTTATGTTCTGATTGGGTAGTCAATCAGAATGAAGGATAGGTTAATGCTTATGGGTAGTGTTGCTTATAATACGTGGTCACACATGGTGGTTCAACTACGAGACAAATTAAATCACATACCTACATACACGTACACTGTGCACTATATTTTTTCTTGTTTGACTTTTTTCCTTCCTGTTTGTCTTTGTGTTTTTGTGTTGTACAGTCAAACTGTCTGTAAGATAATGAATTCCCCAAAGCCCAAGATTTACAATATAGTAAACTGTGGTTGCTTATGGGATATGCTTGTTTGGGAGGAGTGTCAATTCTAGTGCTTTTGACTAGGGAAAATGTTATTTTGGAATTTTAGATCTTCTTCATTTATATTTTTATAACCCCCCAAAAAATGTCCATCATGATGCCTTGATAAATTTTATGCTAATTTAGCTTAAACATATAACACACTTCCTTTAAATGTCATATTATATTATTATTCAGGTTTTATTATTTTGTTAGGGAAAGTGAGTGATCATTCTATTGGAGTTTCTCTAGCAAAAGAACACCTTCCTCTGACAAATCTCTCATTTCCTGGGAAAATATGTATGGACAGTGAAGGGAAAAGACTGGCAGTAGCGGATACAGGACATCATAGAATACTAGTAATAAATAAAGAAGGAATTGTATTGAAAGTTATTGGTGGAGGAGAGAAAAATGAAGCTGGAAATGTTGATGGGACATTTTCAGAAGCACGATTCCATTCACCGCAAGGAGTAGTATTTGAAAATGAGGTCATTTTTGTTGCTGATACAGAAAATCATACAATGAGACAGGTACAGTATAATGGTAACTTAAAATGACTACATGCTTGTGCTGTTCTAGAAAACAGGTAAATTGTACCGTATACTATCTTTTCCAGTGAGGGTGTTTGAGTAGTCCCAGCCCTTCGTGTCTTAAGAAATTTAGTACATGGTGGCTTTGTTTTTTTAATGAAATCCCCTACCCCTTTATAAGAACTTCCAGTCAAACTTATTAATATTATTAAAACATGAGTAGTTCTGTCTTAAATCACTAGCAGACAGTGACAATATTCAGGAGTGTTAATTGTCTACTGGTCATAAAACCACAATCTACTTTAACCTGTGCCATAGACAAAACTGAACCCCTGGGGAAGTTCATCTGTGGATCATTGCTGAAATCCTTGTTCTGGGCCCCAACCTGCCTATCATTCACCATGAACAAAGATCTTGACGCTACTTCGCAGAAGTTACTAAACGGGGTTAGATTACACCTGCTACACAGGCTACACTACTGCTGCTGTTGCCAGCAGTTTGATTTCCTCAGGGCTTGCCTCCTATTTCCTTGCAATACAAGAACTATCTTGAAGGAGAGCACTAACTACAAAGCCATGATGGGAATGGGGACTTGCTACTTCTTTACGCTACTCTTGGCAACAAAACTGCTAGCTTTCCAGGAAACACAATAGAGGAGAAAAGTGATGATGTCACAAAATACTAAATTAGTGAAATTATAGGATTGGTTGGCATACCAAGAAAGAATAAGATGAAAAATGTTCACCTGCCAAAAACCAGCCTGTTAGTGCAAATTAGTGAGAAGATATAGCGATGTTAAGCACTATTGACTCCATATAAATCCGTCTATTTCTGACCCCTAATTTGCGCTAACAGGCTATTTTTGGCAAGGAGGCTTTTTTATCCTGTTCTTTCTGAATTTGTTTACCAATTCCATAATTTCACAAATTTGAATTCTTGTGACCTTACACTTCTCTTTTCTAAAATCCTTCAGAGATATTTGCCAGCAACAATTTTTTTTCTTAATTTTATGGTAAAATTCTAAATTATTAATTTAAGTTATGTTTCTCTTTGTCTCTGTAGATTAAACTAGAAACAGGACAAGTTATTACCATCGCTGGAAATGGCAAACAAGGAAGTGACAAGGAAGGTGGAAAAATTGGAACTGTACAGAGCATCAGTTCACCATGGGATGTGGCCATTGGTCCACCTCCAGGTTTGTATAATAATTATATTCTAATTCTAATATTAATAATAATAATAATAATAATAATAATAATAATAATATAACATAATATAATTATCATTATTACAATATAATAACATTGTTATTTAATAATTTATAATTATCGCAATATACAGGGTTTGTACAGATTCTGGAATTCTTTTAAGTCTTGGAATTTTCAAAGCAATTTTCCAGACCTCAAAAAGGTCTTGAAAGTGGAGAGAAAGTACAGAAAAGTGGTAACAGGTCTGAAGTTTTGTTGTTGTTGTTGTTTATTTAAAGCTACGGTATGGTACACTACAGGTGCTTGATACATACAGCTGAAGGTGATTTTTTCCCTGTGGACAAATTTTCATTAACCTTGCCTGTACTGAGCCAGGACATTCAATCACAGAATGAGAAGTATCAGAACTCTCAGCCTCAGTCCGCATTGCACCATGGTTACTGCCTGCTGCAGATTCATGATTCAGCAGTGCCAGAACTAAAAAGTGTCTCATTTGTAAAGACAATATGGTTGGAGCTTAACGATAAGCTCTTTGGCATTAACAAGCAAAAGAAACTTACAGATGGAGATGCTCCTCATTTTTGAACTTGGGATCTGCCAGCAATGTGGTCTTTACAGTGTCTTCCAGTACGCTTTGTTTTTCACTCACATTACCATTCCATTCCCAATGTTCTTAATTTGTAGCACGATTTCATAGTTGCAACAAAACCAACGTTGTTCCACTGATTACGACTGAGCAAAGTCCTAAATCTTTGGACATTTCTGACACTTTTAAAAGATACATGCAAATTATATCAAAGATAACAAATAACTATTCCTGCAGGACCTACGCAAGACGGCAGCTCAAGTGATGTTTTGTACATTGCCATGGCTGGCACACATCAAATCTGGTCGTTTTACTTGAAAGACAGTTCTTGGCTTAAAGGAGGGTCAGTTATCAACCTTAATGAATCCTTTCACTTCTATCAGTAGACCAATAATAACTTTGAGAAATCAATATATGTTGATAAAATCCTACAAAATCTGATAAAATAATAGCACTATGCAAAAGTGCTGCCAAAGAGGTCTCATTTGAGTGGTAACACCATAGGATTTCATCCACAGACTCAAAAGTTAGAACTACATACTAAATAAATAGTTCCATGTGAAAGAACTGCGAAGAGGTTTCATTTGAATGGTAACACCAAAGGATTTCGTCTACAGACTCAAAAGTTAGAACTACGTGCTAAATAAGTAGTACCTTGTGAAAGTACTGCTGAAGAAGTTTCAGTTGAATGGTAACACCAAACGATTTCGTCCGCAGACTCAAAAGTTGAACTTCATACTAAATAAATAGTACCATGTGAAAGTACTGCTAAAAAGGTTTCATTTGAATGTTAACACCATAGGATTTCGTCCACAGACTCAAAAGCTAGAACTACAGACTAAATAAACACAGTCGACTCCCGATAATTCGAACCTTTAAGGGAAAGAGAAAATACAGTCGACTCGCTATAATTCGAACCTTCAAGGGAAAGAGAAAATAGTTCGAGTTACCGGGAGTTCGAGTTATCGCGGGTAAAATTATATAGAAAGCGATCTGAAGGGAAATGTAAATTGCTTCGAGTTATAGAGGGTTCGAGTTACCGGGCCGGATTCGACTGTAGTTCGAGTTACCGGGAGTTCGAGTCATCGAGGGTAAAATTACTATAGAAAGCAAGCTGAAGGGAAATGTAAATTGCTTCGAGTTAGCGTGAGGTTCGAGTTATAGAGGGTTCGATTTACTGCGATTCGACTGTAGTACCATATGAAAGTACTGCCAGAGAGTTTCCATTTGAATGGTAACACCATAGGATTTCATCCGGAGACTCAAAAATAAGAACGACATACTAAATAAATAGTACCATATGAAAGTACAGCTAAAGAGTTTCTATTTGAATGGTAACACCAGAGGATTTCATCCAGAGACTCAAACGTCAGAACTACATACTAAATAAATAGTTCTGTGTAAAAGTATATGTATTGTTGAAGTGGTTTCATTTGAGTTGCAACACCAATTGAAAGAATTTCTTGCTTAGCTTTAAAAGTAAGAGGCATGAATAACTCACGCGACCAAGAATCAACCAATGTTAGTCTGTCATTAAATTGAGCGAAAGTCTTGAAATATAACAAGTTGGTATGCCTTATACACCTGCTCCATACGTCACACCTTCTAGGACCCAAGTGCAAGGCACTTGTCTTCGTTTTGCTGGGAGTGGAGCGGAAGAGAATCGAAACAACAGTTATCCCCACAAAGCTGCGTTTGCACAGCCTTCTGGTGTCAGTCTTGCTCTGGAAAAACCGCACAGGTGTTTGTTTGTGGCTGACAGCGAGAGCAGTAGTGTGCGAACAGTTGATGTGGCCACTGGTGGCACAAAAGCTTTGGTAGGAGCCGATAGAGACCCGACTGTAAGTATGAAGCAAGCTGTTATTACAGAGATTTAGAACCACGTTTACGGCAATCGTCAAATTGTATCACGTAAACAAGTTGTCCTTTAACTTGCCATCTGCCGTTTATTTTATCCTTTAAAAATAAGCAATTTTATGTCGCTCTCATCCATAAGAATCATTTTTGACAGCTTTTACCTGCTGACTTTCTAATTTGAGAAATTTTTAACTTGAATCTCGCGTTTGCCATTTGTCGTAAACGTGATTCTAAATCTCTCTACAGGGTGTCCCGAAAGGTCGTTCCTCTTCTTTATTAGCCTGTAATGCAGTATGATTGGACATAAACAAATCGTTTAAAGAAAAGTCTTGTCTTTTCAATCGAATTTAATATTATTTTCATACTTGTGCCATCTTTCGACTCGGATATTCGATTTGCCTACTTTCGTGCCAAAGGTGCACTTGCGCGAGTACATTTTCCCGCCGTATATTTTTTTTGTTTTTTGTAACTTGTCGTCTCATTTTAAGAGAGTAAACAAACTCGACCAGGATTACTCGTATTGGCAATTTTTATCACTTGCATTGTTTGCCCCATGATATACCACGTGACGTTGCACTGTCCTTGTTATCTTATCAGTCCTATTAAAAGCACGTGCAAATTAAGATGGCGGGTATTGTGAGGTCTATTTGGGTGAACGAATTATTTTTGAGTATGTAGAGGGCGTTACAGGTTTTCGAAAGAGAAAGTAGAATTTGGGTGCCTAATTCCTTGGCTTTTTACGCGCATACAATTTCCTTTTTTCTCCACTTTCGAACATCCACTAACCGACCAAGAGGGAATTCAAAAGTAGCTTTTATATGATTTGTATTCTATATTAAATGTTTCGTGCTTTTCAAAATGACAACTTAGGATTTTTTGTTTTTCGTTTTCAGAATCTGTTCGCATTTGGTGATCAGGATGGCAAAGGTATTGATGTTAAGTTGCAACATCCATTAGGTGTGGCCTGGAACCCACATTCACAGAAACTCTATGTTGCAGATTCGTATAACCACAAGGTAATGATTGTCTCTTATCCCAACTGCCCGGCAACTTGTTTGCTGATATCCTTCCCAGATAAGTGGTAATTTTCTCTGAAAATTCTTTGTTTTCCGGGGATTCGTCTTACGCCTTATCAGTATATCAGAGCTTACGACTGAAAATCAGCAGTCCGTTTCTTTTTCTTAAGGACTATATTATCACACGGCGTTAGCGGCTGTTCCTTACTACACGGTATATACATTGTAGCAAGTGGAAAGCAGCAAGAGTCCAAAACAATATCTTTTAAATCGGCCGTCAGTTTTTAATCGTCACGGAATTAACCCTCTCTTTTGCCTTTTCTGGTTGTCCAAGTTATTGACGGTAGCGTTGCTGTAATAATCACGTGGCTTTAAACAATGGATATCGTATAAACTCGAATAAGCGCCATCGTCGGATAAGCGCCGCATTTGAAAAAAAAATAGAAATAAAAAAGAACGTTTATCAGCTTCGCCCCCGAATAAGGGCCGCGGCGCCAATATAATCAAAATAATAAAGACATAAGTAAATGGATTAATGAATGAATGAATCAATCAATCCATCCATCCATCCATCCATCCATCCATCCATCCATCCATCCATCCATCCATCCATCCATCCATCCATCCATCCATCCATCCATCCATCCATCCATCCATCCATCCATCCATCCATCCATCCATCCATCCATCCATCCATCCATCCATCCATCCATCCATCCATCCATCCATACATACATACATACATACATACATACATACATACATACATAAAGACGTTAATTCTGTTTGGTTAATACGGGAAATACTGATGCGGTAGCTAAAACAATTCTTTGTCTGCACGTCCAACTTTCAGATAAACGCCATCGAATAAGCGACGCATTTGAGGCGGAAAACGAACATGTAATAAGCGTCGCGAAGCTTATCCGATTAAATACGATTATATACAGCTATTTCGAGAAAGGTTGTCGGAAAAAGTGCACGCGACAATCTCGAAAGGTATTGTGGGTGGTTTTAAGTTCACTGTTCTTCAAAGAAATTTAATAGAATGGCAGGAGAGGCCATGGACATATGTTTGTGAGTGCTAAAGGAAAGCAAGAAAAGTTATAAGTTCGACAGCTACAGTGTCTGGAACAATGTATTGCTCTTATCCCATATTACCTTTCAGGATTGTCGCGTGCACATTTTTCCGACAACTTTCTCGAAATAGCTGTAAACAACTCAAGGCCCGATAAATGTATTTTTCGATTCGCTCTGACAAATGGCTAACGCTTGAAACGTCATCTTTTTAGATCACATTATGGTGATTAACTCACTATACCAACTACTGGGGCCAGTAAAAACCCTTCAATTTCTTGCTAGTGATGATGCTCTAGTTTTAAAAAATAGAAATATTGGAAGGATTGATCTTAACTTTATTTTACCATTATGACGCATTGGATTCCTATCCTAGATGGGTTATACTAAAATTAATTAATCGGTTGATTAGTTAATTAATTCACGGACTGATTTTAATTAATTTATTGCAGATTAAAGTTATTGATCCTGTGAAAAAAACTTGTGAATCTTTTCTGGGCACTGGTAAACCAGGTCTTTCTTCTGGCGAGGGAAACGCGATTCAGTTTGATGAACCAGGTGGCTTGTGTGTGAGTCCAGATGGAGAGACGCTATATGTGGCAGATACTAACAACCATGCCATTCGAGTTATTGACTTAAAAACTAAAAAAGCGTCACAGGTGAGAGTTCAATGTTTTCTGTTCCTCCGGCTTTAAAATGTAATCCAGTCTTATGAAATATAGAACAATATGGTAACAAGTATTTCCTGCCACAAGCGATTTTTGGACAAGACACAGTGTAGAAATTTATGGAGTTTCTTTTTTTTTTTTTTAAAGAAAAATCCGTAATGTGTTAAGAATAGGTAGAATAGGCATATTAATATATATTTTTCCTTCTTTTGGGTTTTCCAGCTCGTTCTGATTTCTGAAAAAGTCAACCGTATTAAATAAGTCCGGTACCCGCGGGGTTTTAATGGGCTAAATGGAGTTTTTTTAGAAGTTTTCTTGGTCATAATCGTTATTGTGTTGATTGGTGATAGGCAAACATTCTTGGTGAGAAATTTAGATACATGTAATCCAGTCGACTCACAATGGACGTTATAATTGAGCAAGTAACTGAGCAATCAATCAGTCAGTCCGTCAGTCGATCATTCAAGGAGTCGATCGATCGGTGTCCGTCGGACCGTCAGACCGTCCGTCCGTCGTCCTTCAGTCATACAGTCAGTCTTTCAGTCAGTCAGTCAGTCAGTCCGTCAGTCTTTCAGTCAGTCAGTCAGTCAGTCAGTCAGTTGGCGATTCAGTCAATCGATCCTTCATTCAGTGTCTGTGTGAACCAATAAATCTAATCAAACAGCTGTTTTCAAGCAAGCTTTCTTCTTCGTAGTTGGATATCATCGAGCGCCCTCAAACTCCAAAAGCCCTTGTGGACGGACAAACGAGCAAAGAAAAGGTCGTGGTAAAACGGTTAACTTCGAAACGAACCCCTGTCAATTCCAAAGAGCCAATTCATGTGTGCAGCAACGCTTCCTTAGATGTTACGTTCGAAATCAGACTCCCCGCGGGCTGTTACTTAACAGAAGGCGTGACGAGTAATTGGCAGTTCATGGTCTTCAGGCCACAAGAAGGTAAATGAGGTTGTTTTACTCATTGATCTCTAGGTTGACAATGTGTCCTCTTAACAAACCTGTTTTGTTTCCAAAGGTGCGTTAGGCGATTTTGGCTTGAATTTAATACATTCACTTTGCTAAAAACGTCTCTCACTGTTCTTGCTAATTGATTGTACCCGCCCCTCAAGTTCCGTGAAACGAAAATATCGTACGTAAATATGTCCGCGATTCCCTTGGACTTCAAAGTAGCCGTCGTCATTCTACCATGGATATTAGGGAAAATGTCTTAGTGACGGAAGCAAGTTATCAAATGTTAGAACGTTTATTATTTGTCAATTACCGTTTACCTTTTCTGGTCAAAAACTAAAGTAAATCAAATATAAAACATGATTAATAATAATAATAATAATAATAATAATGATGATGATGATGATAGTAATAATAATAACAATAACAAATAAATAAATAAATCAAATGAAGCTTTCCAGCAACAAACAAATCTCGTAGTCGTCCTTTACCTCAAATCTAAAGGTCTCTATTGCTACTTTGTAGAAAATGTATCATTCTCAGAAGATAAGTCATCGTTAATGCTTAATACGATTAGTTCTGCACTTTGCTTAAATGTTTCTTGCTACATATTCTAGATAAGGAAGCCATTCAAGAACAGTTTAAGCTGGAACCTCCATCGGGCGTCTTGACCAAGGACTCCATGCGTGGTATTTGCTCCATCCGGATACCAGACGGGGACTGGGAGCCACAAACAACCGCAAGGGTTAGTAATTTGTAGTTACAATATTCATACTCACGCATGTTTATCTTAAACTTAACGTACTTAATTATCGTTTGTTCCAATGGCTTTTTGTTTAGTTATCTATTTATTCATTCATTATATAATTGAATTTATTATCATATTTTTGTTATGGTAGGCGGAGGCCATAGTTTATTTCTGTGAGCCAAGTGGTACATGCAGAATGGAGGAGGTAGTCTACGAAGTAGTGCTGCTAAAAACAGGCGCAAGGGGTCAAAGTTCCCTCCAAATAAACCACGAATGCAAGTTGTAAATCAAGAATACGAAGATTGCTGTGAAGGAAATTTGAAATGTCAGGATAAACGACAACCATGAATGACACATGCTCACTTTTTTGTAATACGCAAACCAAGAGGTTACATATACATTACCAGAATTAACTTTAAAAATTAAACAAGTAAGTTTGAACGAGTGGTCGTTAGACCACAATGGAAGAAGAGCTGTTAAGACTGATAACAATTTTGAATTTAGAAGGCAAAGCGTTTGTCATCTAATACTTTGGTTATTCTTAAACAAATTCCTTCTTTTTTTAAATTTAATTATGATGCATCATTTCTTGTGAGATGTGTTTTATGTACTTAAAGGTTAAAAGATAGAAACTCTGTCAAAACCTTCCAATTTTGAATTCCTAGAAAGAAACTTGAATATTACAGAAATCCAAAGGATATTTTTGACCCGGAGCGATTGAACCCACGACCTCTGCATTGCACGTTCCAGTGTCCTAACAGACTGAGTCACTGGATCAGTCTAGAGGTGATCACAAGAATAGACAGAATTGGTATTCTCCGACAGTCCTGGGACGAGTGGGCCTTGATCATGAATGCGAGGCTCATGCGGGGACCTTCTCGCCAAGAGGACGAACAAATATAAAAAAACTGCGGCTGAGTTTGCCGAATTTAAGGAAAATTTTTAACATTGTAAAGTTCCGAAGGGCTTACATACTTGAGAGGTTATTATTTCAAACAACAAAAGGAAGATATGCTCATTATTACTAAGAAAAACAGCGATCCTAACCATAATTATATTGATGAGAAGAGTGCTTGGTGAGCGAATTTATAATTTAATATAAACAGAGATGTTTTTAAAATCCCCGAAGCCATTTTAATTGTAATTTTCAGTGTCCTTTAAACTTTTTGAAGAATATTTTTTATTGAAATGGACGTAATTATCGAAAGCCTGCGATAAAGTTAACGGCGATGTTAGCACACCTACTTTGCAGTTGAAATTTCCTAACAGAGCGGATGCAAAATCTTGAAAGTGTATTTGAAGTAAAGCAAACGACTTATTCCATGGATAATTACCTATCTGGACGGGGCTTAGCGTTCCGCACACAGTCCATGTGCATTTTAAGGAAGTTAAACCGGTTTGAACAAAGATGACCAGGTAAAGTTTAGTTTTAAATGTAAGTTACATTATCTTCGATAACAACTGTGCGAGAGTACAAATACGTGCACGCAGTTGAACACACAGTTTCGTACAGACGATAATACTGAGCAGTTTAAACTCCACACTACAGATACACAAAAGAGAAAAAGAATAATAATAAGAAGAAAATTTTATAAAAAGGATTCGAGTATTGACATTTTGACACAATATACCATTTTCTTGCTTACTTCTTGTTTCTTCTTTTGGCTTCTTGGCTTTTTAACTTTTGCTGTTAGTACGACTAGCTCTTCCCACAGTTTTGTTTTTTGAAACAGATATCCCTTTTATGTAGCTTACCCGTAAGGTTTCGGCTTTTAAATCTTGCAGTTTTTTGCTGATTTCTATCGTTTTGCAGCGATTCAGCCGCGACTAACCAATGTTTGTATGTGTTTTTGCTAAAAAGTTCCCCGCTTTAGCCTCGCAATCATGCTGTGGTCTCTCGTCCCAGGGCCGTCAGGGAATACGAATATCGTCTATTTAGAATGGCCTTTACCCTTCCTTAAATGCAGTGAATTGCATATGTTGTCTATTTGGTAAAAAAGCAAAAGCAAAAGCTGAATAATAATGATAAAATAATAATAATAATAATGATAATGATTATAATAATAATGATAATAATAACAATGGTCTCTGAATAAATAATGATTAAGTTAGCCATGGAAGGAAATTTATTTCTTTAAAACAAAAACAATAATAATAATAATAATGATAACAATAATATAGTAATAATAAACTAAGATATATAAGAATAAAATGTCGGCGTGAACAAAGCAGCCTCCAAAACAAATGACACTGATTCAATTTTTACTAGCTCGAAAACGGACTTTGTTGGCGCGTGATAGTCAAGTATATTAAGATAGGCTTGACTGTTCAGACAGATCGTTTAGACGTTTCAAGCAAAGACCTCGGTCAGCTTATTGAATTGGGGATATAGCGTGGCCACTATTATAAAAAGAAAGGTACTTATCATAACTAGTGGGGGATATTTTCATTCCCAGTAGCCGCGATGTGATGTTAGAATAGTCTCTTGGTTTTTAAGCTGGTGGCGAAATACTGTTGGAGAAATGTTATGGCTAGTATTTTCACATGAATAAGCTATCACCCTCGTCAGTTCAAATATGCCTCTGTTTCTAGAGAGTTAACCCAACCAAAACTACGGCGGTATCGACGACGTAAAAACAACCAAAACGAAAGACAACGAGCAGATGACTCTAAACAAAGTTAACTGAGTGTTGCTTTCATCTGTGGAATTGCGGACGTGAAATTTTGTTTCGGCTAATGGTGTTTTATTGAGGCCATAAACTAACGAGGACGAAATTTATCTTTTAAAACTGAATTGGATCCGATCTCTAGCAGCAAGTCATGAACTTTAGCAAAATTTGCCAAAAATGAAGAAATCAAGCTAGTTTGAATCACCGCGAGGGTTAATTTAAGGATCTAACGTACACTTCATTTTCCCCATACTTTATGTTAGTGTTGTGTAAACTCTCAAGTAACAGGGCTTGGCAGATTATGTGGCTTGCCCTAGCGATTGCAACTTTAAGTGCAAATGCTAATTTTTATTTAAAGGAACTTTTTAGATTTTAGATGGCAGAAATGCACAGTATTATTTATCAGGTTCGTTGAATGCACGTTATGTGCATGCATGGTCACAGACTCAAGCATGGTCTCCATATGACTACGTCTATCGATCTGGACCCGATTCCCCGATCGCGAAGGTCAAGATAAGCCCAGGTTCAAGTCCAATTTTAAGAATAATTTCGTTGCCTTAGATCAAATAACTCGATTTTATAGAATAAAAATGGTTGAGCTTTATTCTGGAATACAGTTACGGGGATAACACAAAACGGTATTCTAAACGATACTTAGGAAGGCAAACACAAGAATGTTCCAAATTTGCGTTCCTGGATCATCGCGAATCGGCCTTTGAGGAACCAGGCCCTGAGCGATAAAGGATCACCAAATTTATGGAATGCAGCGTTTTAAGTGATCAAGTGACGGTCAATGATGCCGGCGTGAAGAAAGAATTTAACTTTATTTTACTTTTTGAAATTTTTTTTGGGTTTACCTTTAATAATAAACCTAATCCTTACCCTTCCTGAATCCCGTATATAAGAATTCGAATCTTTAACATCTGAACAGAACAAAAAGGGCTTAGATACGGTTACACCAAAGATGGCTTTTAGTGTCACGAAATTCAGACTAATTAGGTAATTACAAAATGTCCGTTAAATTAAGAGAAACAAAAATAACCGCATAAAACATTAAAGGAAGGTTGAAATAACACAACAGATACAGCAGATGCCACGGATTGGCGGAACTGATGAAGATTGAGACGGATTGAAATTAGGGTTTTTGAAAACTGTTCAGGCTAACAGTTTTTCAAAGTTGATTTCTGCTGTTTGCAAGTTCAAAAATAATGCCTAGGAGACATATTTGTTTGTCTTGAATCTCTGATTTTGTCATTTACGTGTGATTTCTTTACTCACTTTAAGTTCCATAGTGGTTGAGGCTGAGTAATTGGCAAAATTAAACAAAATGAACTGGACTGCAGTGACACAGCTCCTTTAACTTTGCAACTAAAATTGCAAAGCAAATAGAATTTATATGGTCAAAAGAAGATTCATAAACAATAAAAATAAAAAGCAAAGAATGAATGAATAAATAGATCAATAAATAAAGAAGTAAATAAACATATAAATGATTAATTGATTATGCAAAACTTTCCCTCTTATTGATGGAATACGTTATATAATTAATTTTTCCAAGACGTGGAGACTGGGGGATGGATCGAACTAAATCCTAGAGAAGCAGTTTAACATTGAGAATTGTTTTAAACTTTGTGTAAAGTCGTCACTTCACACGCTCTGTTTGGTTTAGATTTGTGTTTGCTTCTGTGATGCAAACGCAGTTGTGAAGTTTCGATCATTTGATTTGCAGGTGGTAATCACTCTAGTGCAGCTTTGAAAAAAAACAAAAATGAGATTCAAACGCGGCACAGGACACCCCCATACACAATCTGTGTTTGTAGCCGATTGTTATTTTATAGTAAACAGGGACACCCAATGACTGTTTTTTATAAAATATCTGTTCGGAGAAGCAAATATCGCCTAGAATGTTCTATTACTTGAGGACGGATAAAAATTTCTAGATGATCGTTCCATTCATGTACACTTTCCGAAGCTTATCAAATAAATTACCTACGATTTTCTTAACTTTAATTTTTACACTTTACTTCCCAAGTTACGCTATTTTTCGTAGAAAAAAGAACCTAAAATTTTCGGATTCAAAAATTTGATGGGGAGAGGAATTAGAAAATGTCTCACTTCCGTTATACGGCAAATTTCATCTAAAATGTTCGGGAAAATTATAATCAAGCCCTTGTAATTTCCAAAAGACTGAAGTTCCCCTAGGGTGACCGAACAGATACAAATTTTACAAAGCCGCCTAGAATGCTTTTCTTGAGCTCTAAAAGTCCTTTGGATAGCCTTAAAAGTGTTTTCAATGTATTTAGGACGAAAACGTCGTTGGATGGGGAGGTCTTTATTTATAATTATTTGGAATTGTTAATGAATTTTCTTCCAGTGAAAGGGAAGTCGTATTTTTAATACCTTAGGGTTAATGATTACACTTCTTGCCTACAAACTTCTTTGCATGTCCGTGGTAACCCCTTTTTAACAAAATAGTCTCAAAAATGAACAGCCTTGTGACCACTTTTACCGACTCACAAAGGGAAAGGGGTTTTAATTAGCACGTGATAGTCTACTACTGTAAAAGTGTCACAAGACTGTCTTCTTGACAAGCGCGTGATATTCAACTTTTAGAAATGGTAGTGAGCCAAAATAAGAAGCTACTTTTAGCCTTAATTGTCAATACTGAACATTTCCAAAATACTTGAACATTTTTTTTTCCAGAACAAATAAAAAAATAAATAAAAACGCAGGTTCTTACTCCGGTTTTCGTCTGCCTACATTCACACAGTACTGCAACACGTCTGTATATGACCCTGAAATAAACGATATGTGCAGCGCAGCGCTTGGGTGAATATTTGTTGTGATGCTGTCACTCACTTCACTTATTTATTTAAAATTCATTTGTTATTCATTTTATTCATTTTTCGCCCTAAATAAATGTCAACAAAGCAATATAATTTTTTTATTCGTTCACCATGGACGTTAGTCATACAGTCAGCAATAAGAACTTAATTTTTTGCATTTTTCTTCAGAACATTATTAATAATTCATAAACAAAAAACAAAAAGTTTGAAAAGTT